GACTGGAAGAGTTGTTCACGTCGCTGTAGTTGTACGCCCTGGGACCAAAACAAAGTCAACGTACAAACTTTTTTGTTTTGTTTTGTTTTTTTGTAAGAGTTTGTTTTGTTTGTTTAAGTAGAGGTTTTACGGCGCTCACAACTGAATAAGGTCATATGAGCGCCAGCAGATAAGAGGAGTTACAAGAGAGTAACAAACATAAAAAAGAAGAAGGAGGGTAGATAAGGACGATAGATGTTTGACAGGAAAGCAGAAGCAGACCACACCAGAGCACCCACCAACCTCCCACTTAGCAAGAGTTTTACGGCACTTGCAACACAATGAGGTAATATAAGTGCCCAAGATTACAGGAGTTACAAGCAAGTAACAAACACAAAATAGAAGGAAGGGAGAAAAGGACGATAGACGTTTGATAGAAAAGAAAGATAGTATAAGATATTACAGAAAGATACTTGACATAAATATAACATATATAACTGTTACAGAAAGAAAATAAACATGAACATAACATATATAAATATTACAGAAAGAAAATAAACATGAACATAACATATATAAATATTACAGAAAGCAAATAGACACATACAAAAATAATTTACAAAAAAAATAATTTACAAAAAATATTACTGAAAGAAAATTAATAATAAGTATTACAGGGCAAAAATTAATATAAAATATGGAAAGAATATTCATATAAAAGATTATAGAGAAGAAAAGTAATATAAAATACTGCAGAAAGAAAATTGATATAAAATATTACAGACGAGAAATTAACAAAAGAATGATAGACCTACATATAAATGATACTGAGAGAAAATGAATACAAAATGTTATGGAAACATAATTCACATTAAAATATTAGGGGGAAAAAAATAATAAAAAAATAACATTCAAATATTACAGAAATAAAATGAACGTGAAAATAACAAGGAAAGAAAATTAACATAGAATATTACAGAAAGAAGATTAGGACAAAATATTAAGGAAAGAAAATCTATAGTAACTGCTTATTCATTTATTTTGTTAAATCTACCCC